ACATGCAACAAATATCAATTTCAGATATGGTGGATGGGCCACAAACCTCTAAAGCCTTGAGCACATGCTCAGGTGCAATTGTTCGTTTATCCTCCCTGCTACAAACTTCATTGGACTCTGATGAAACAAGATTAATAAACTCTGCAAGAGAATTAAATGAAGTTATGATACTCAATATAAGAAATATCACTAAAATCCATAAAACTGATTATTAGTCAACAAAACTGCGAGGGAAATACGGATAGCCAAATCCATCTCAACAAATATCCAAACATCTCAGGAAAATAAGATTTCCTTCAGTGAAAAGTGGTACATAATTCTTGATCTAAGAGGCAGCAGATCCATGCTAGTGTGGAATTAAGTTCTTTTTAAATTCTAGGGAGAGAATCATGGTTCTTAGATTGACAGTTGAAGTCATCTTTTCCTCTTATAGTAGATAAAAACACAGAAAACATTTGAAGACGCTTTTAGAACCTGTGGAAGACAAGCTCCCTGAGTACAAGAAAAATGATATGCATGAAATGTTTAGTTTAGTTTAGTTGTAAATTAATATCTCGCAGGAAAATGGGTAGCAGATATTTCGCACCATCAGCAACTTAAAGTGTTTATTATTTATATATTTATTATTATTATTATTATTATTATTATTATTTCATTGAAGGCAGCGAAACTCTAGTGAAGTCATCAATACTCATACATTAAGCTAATAGCTCATTTAAGATCAAACTTTCCAAAGAGGATTACAAAAGGAGAAGCTTTTCTTCAAAAGTCAACAATAATAAATGGAAAGGAAGAAAATTGACATATCATCAATTAATGAACGTTTAGAAGCCTCATAGACTAAATGAACACATATGACATTTGACTGATACTCATAAGAAGATAAACATGTTGTCTCACCTACACAACACTCAATCAAAAGATCTTGAGCATCCCTTGCAACACGAACATCTGGTGGTAGCATTTCCTTTATAATTTTGGTCATGGTTGCTGCAAGAAGGAAAAAAAAAAGTATATTTTGCATCAAAGTGGAACAAACAGACATTTTAGATCAGCAAGACCTTGGTTTTTTAAAAGCAAACCCAAATACTTGAGCCCTTTCCATGATTTGACCGAGTACAAAGGGTTTTAGTTAATATAACACATTTGCAAACTCTAAATCAACCAAAACCATTGTCAGCTACTTCAAAACATTACATTCTTAACCACTGTTTCATTAATTCTATTGCAGGAAATTGCCCGGATAAATTAAAGATATCAAGCAGACTAAAGCACCTTCCTACCTCAATCCAAATTGCGTTTTGATCCAAACCTAAAGCAAGACTATGCCAATTGATTTTTCTTTTTTCTTTTTTCTTTTTTTTAATGAAATTAATTTAATCATCATCCCAAAAAGGCAGAAAACCCATTAAAAAAAAAAAAAAAACCCTTTTCTTTTTTGGCTAGGGCAAAAAAATCAATTCCTTATTAATTAAAATTGAACCAGACATTCTGTAGCTGAAACCCTAGCAAAATAACCCAAAATAGAGAAACAGAAAAAAGATAAGATTTTTGGAGAAAATATCATCAAAATAGCAAACTAATTGACAGATAAGTTTGAAAAAGAGAAAATTACCTTTCGGAAGCGAAGCGTCCTCCTTCGTCTTCCCGACGATATCCATCGGGTCCATTTTGAATCTACACACAAATTTGCAGGTTAGACTAAGATTTCAGCAACAAAATATACAGATCTGAAACTGGATATTGCGAAAAATCGGGGTGGTTTGACTCACCGAGTCACTGAGTCGAGACTAAACTACGCGAACGCGATGATTCCAGCGGGGGGGAGCAGATCGGAAAAACCGAGTCAGCTGATTCGCGATCCGAGTTGCGGTGAAGATCAAGGGGGGAACATGGTTGTTGAAATAGAGATTTATCGGAGGAAGTCATGGCGTTTCATGATAAGGGACGAGTTTCGATCGCAGCCGATTAGGGCAAAAAACAATGGAGATGTGAGGGAGTCCGATCCCCACGCACTCAGTTAGGCGCGTTAATTGGTTGCCGCGCTAAGCGGATATGGTGGTTGGTGAGTGTTAGGCACTCGAGGTCACAGCGCGTGAACGATACTGAATTAAAGAATTTTCTTTACTATCATATCTATTGATAATAATTAAAATACTAAAAATATAATAAAAATTAAAATATTTTTAAAAAATTAATATAAAATTTTATTTAAAATATTTAAATAATTTTATAAAAAAAAATTTAGTATCTAAAATAACAGAATATTTTAATTTTTATTGTTTCTTTCTCAATTTTATATTTATTTTATTTAAGAGAAAAAATGGGTGAAATAAAAAAATATGAATAAAAACTTACATATATAATATATAAATTTTTTTTTTTTGACCAGGTAGATGGTTAGGAAGTTAGTACAGTTAGTTTGTTAGCAGCTGAAATTTTTTCAGGAAAGTGAACGTTCAACCCCTCATTTGAGGCGCGCAGCCATTAGATCGCAAGTTGGTGGAGTTCACGGCGGTGGTGGAACTCGAAATCCTGACCTCCGCCTCAACCAAGCCCTAAAGTTTGGGGGCAACCAATTGGGCCACGTGCCCATTGGTTATATAATATATAAATTAGTAATATATTGAGATGAGATTTAAATATTATAATTTAATTAATTAAATTTTTTTTTTCTTTATTTCACTCAACTTATCCGAGAACTTCTAGACAACATTATCCGAATCACTAACCCTTCATCCCTATCTTCTTGCAAAAAAGTGGTTTGTTTTCCACTTTGACGCGTTAAATGAAATGAAATTCCAAGCAAAGAGAAGTTGTACTTCTACTTGTTTCATTTCCAGGGATTGGCTTGGGCCCGCCTTGGCTGGGCTTCATTGAAAGGATAATGCCCATTGTAATGGACGGTGGGAGCTCCATACGGAATAAATAGAATCCTTGGCCCATGTTGACTCCTGAGAAAGCATGAGCAAAGGCCCCCCTGTTGTGGACTCGTACTTGGTGGTGCTGTTATATAATTTTATTTTTTAATTTTTATAATATGAATGTCTAAACTTTCAACTCAATTAAGTTTATTAAGTATTGAATAAACTTTTACTTTTTAGGTCGCAATC